AATTCTCGGATCAGTTGTCCAAAAGCAGTGGTTCACGCCGCATCCGCATGATCCTAGTAGTCATATTCCGACATTATGTTTTTCAGTCAAATCCTATGCGAACCAGCACAACCTCGCCACAAAGACTTGAACAAATAGCGTGCATACTACTTGTATGGAAAAAACTGGGGATTGGGGATCCTACGGGGCGATGTATTGGCCTAGATTTCTCGTTAGCACCAAGTTTATTTCACCGAGATTGATCAGACAATTCACATATTTTTTGGTATCGTTATGTAGATAATTATACAACTGCATTATTTAAACCGCTTTCGCCTTATGAGGTGGTTGCTGAATATTCTCATCTTGGGTTGTACTAAAGTAATCGCTTAACTTTTGCATTGGATTCACTGCAATCAATTGTCAGCTAGCCCCACGGTTTGTACATTTCTATGAATTTATCGTGCTTAGTCCTGAGCCTTTATAGGTAAAAGTTTACGACCAGCTATGGTTAGCATCATATACCCCTTAGAGCTTCCAAACAAAGGCATTCATGTGCAACCGCTCCCTCCCCATACCAACCTAAAAAAAAGAGGTCAGTGCAAATGCCAACTTCTTTGTGACCAAAGGGCACATCAAATGGGGGGGGGGATAAATGGGACGCACAGGCCCAGAAGAGCTAAGAATAAATGCAAGTAAGTATCTGAGAATTATTTCAACCTATAAGAACGGTATAGTGCAATGAATAAGTTTTAAAGCTATTTGTACACTATTCCTGTAATAATCCACATAGAATGATGAACATTTCGATCATCATTGGCGTACAGAAAAATATAGTAAGGCGAACCTCACCGATCGCAGTTAAAACACTTCAGTAAAGACATGAAATCCAAACCGGATCCACATCTACGTTGATCTAGCCAAGCTTTTAGTTCAATTATCCATTTTTCGCTGGAGCACTAAGCGACTACCGCTGACAGATGAAACATAAGGCAAGACGCAATTTTCCGACATACTGTGCTTAAAGTGGAGCGTTGGGGATCGAAAAAAACCTGACTTTCGCAGCTCGTATTGAGTAAAAGAATAGCATACCCACAACTCGTATTCAGTCACCTAACAGAGGAAACTGGTTCCGCGTTAGCTGGATGTTTTGTTTGTCACAATCTCCTGATGAAACAACTGAACTAACGCACTGACCAAATCAATAAATAGGTATACGCACCTAAATATGTGAAACATGACTCCATAGAATAGGACAAAAAATGAGTGAATGATACTGGAACAATAACAACATGTGGTGAACAAGTTAATTTTCATTTATTCGCAACCATGGCGATACGTCACGAGTGTTGATCCTAATATTGTCGAGAATCCGAAAGAGTGTGGGCGTGTGTTTGTGAACTGTAATAGTATCAACGGTTCAAGTGACAGTGCAGTGCTCCGGCCCTAGAGCATACCCCCGGAATTACTCTATTCTGTGCGAACGGGCTCTACTCATACCGACTGATTTTACCATTGTAATCATCCGAAGAGCGAACGCTGTCGATCATAGGACTGTTTCACTGAAGGTCGCTAAAATCATTTGTAAAACAGTATCTGGGGGTCACCGGGACTCTTGCACCAACTGTGGGTGTGTTGCTTTGCAGTTATCGCGATGACCTTGATTCGGTGGTGTAGGGAGAACGCTTGGTCTTGCACGCCTATGGAAGGAACTTCAAGATGACGAAAAATCTGGCACTGATTTCTCGATTGATTCAATGATCGATAGTTTTTGTATTGCCTGTGCTTATCATTTGCCGGTAACGGGAGTACTGCCACGACAGAAAGCAACATAAATTGGTTGGTCAAACGGATTACCGTAATTTTCGAATGATCAAGGGACGGGTGTACCAATTTTAGCAACACCATACACATGATTCCGAGACTGTTCAGGGGGATTTCTGAAACACGATCGTGGTGGTGGTGGCAATGGATGTTTGTGGATGCGCAAAACAATTCACACAATAGTCCGCTTTCGGATGGATTATCGCACCCATAGATATGACTTGGAGAGGTTCGAGCGCTTTTATAAGCTACTTCTGTCCCATATGCCCGATCCTCAATAATGAACAACGCGTTAGTTTGTCACGGGTTGCTAGTGTCGTCAGTAGTCGAACAACAACAACAACAACAAGAAGGGAGGGTGCGTAAAATGACTCACAAGTGCGTTCGATGTGAGACTGACTCGAAATGATGGAAGAATTCGTTAGACAGATTGTAGCACTCGGGTTATCCTCTTCCCACATGTAACCCCCAATGGCTATATCTTCTGTTTGGTTGAACTGCGAGGAGGAGGAACAATGTAAAGAAGAGGGAATGAATACACTTGCATAAAAGATGGCAATTTCGAATAAGCAAAGTGTGAGGCACTATATGAAGAAATAAACCATGTGATTGTGATGACAACTGGTAATGGTGTTTATACTGTGAATTCGAACGGCAGATCACATCTGACTTCAATGAAAGTGAACGCGAAACGACAACGGAGATAGTTTTCAACAAAGTGAGGGGACAGTGACAATTGCCAAACCCAAAGGACTACAATGATCAGTTTAACAGCGCACAAGTATTGCCCTTTGCAGCATCACATATGCAAACCCCCAAAACAGAATGAATGTCTCAGGAAATATCTCAAATAAGGTCGACTTCGTCAACCGTTCTATGTGAATGTCTGCAACTACTCTATTCTAGCTGGGTTGGCTCCGTAAGAAAGATGAACCGACATCACCAAAAGAGTGAAGTTTCGTGGGAATTCGATAGAAGAGATTCACAGAATTGCTCGACTTTTTGTTCCAGGGTGCATCTTTAGCATTCACATAACAACCAAATGCGGAGACTGAAGAGCAGTGGCATTTTGGTGCTTAACTGTAGGTGGCTCGTCTAAAGTTCTCTAGGACGATATTCGCCCGGTGACAACATACGGCTGTGAAACCTGTCTCCTTCGAGAGGAGAATGTCAGAAGAGTGGTAACGTTTCAGCACCGATGCCTCCGGAGAAAATAACACGGAGAGAGCAAACAACAATCAATATGATCTGAGGATATACGAACAATGGAAATCGATCAAAGGAACCATTTTTGTTATTGCACACCCAAGTGTGTTAAACAGCAGACAAGGCGAATCCCATAGTCACGAGGACCTAGTGCTCTGTGGTAGAAACCGGCAACCTAAGCCCCGGGACTTGGAGTGGCTAATCCCATAAGGCCCCAATAGGAACTAGTGTATGTTTTACTCAAGTATGATCACCAAAAGCGTGTTTGAATTCACATTTCTGATAAAAATCAAAAGTGCAACGGTGACAGTACCAAATGCAGTATAGGAGAGATTTGTGCACATCTGGGGAGCTATCTGATGAGGTCAGTGTGAGCTTGGACTTTCGGACGGTATCATAAATGATCGAATCAACTTGGAAGTTCTGATCCGATAGAGCTTGTCACTGTTGAGCATAACCACGGAGACCATTTTTTTATAATGACAACGTCTCTGCTGATTGTTTCTTTGTAAGACGTGAGCCCCATTCGTATCACGACACAAAGAGGTACTCTTGGAGAAGGGGGCTTTGCCAGGGAGAACAGTGTGTATGGGAAGCGCAAGAAACGGAACAGCCTTATCGCACTACACAGGACGAAGTCATCAAGGGTATCACGACTTGGGTGCACGCGTTGACCTGGAGCGGTAGCTGTTACCATTTCGTCAATATATTCATTCTTCAAACAATGATCTGTTAGCTGTTACTTGACTGATAAACATCCCTTCAGCTTAAACAATATGATCAGGTGAAAGTGACGAACAATTTAAACTTGATTAGCTTTTTTGTCTGTTACGCTACTCCACGGGCATTAATAGATAATATGAGAGAACCTGTTAAGTACAAAACCGAACTCATTCCATTGATAATTAATTACGCGACAGCAGCATTGTAACCGGAAGGGGTTAGTAGAAAATTATACGCCGAAGGGATGCGAATGAAATAGGAGCAACGGTTAACTACCTCATTTGGGATAAATGAAAAATCTGGATTTTAAACGGCCGTAGAAGTGCGTGTGTGTGAACTGGATTGTTCAGCCCGAAACATATTGAACGAGTCTCACGGTCTGATTGGCTGGATGATTCCGGACACGAATGACCTACTGCCGTAACAAACCGCACCGAATTTCTTGCGCATCAGGCTTTGGCTACCCGGAAGCTCCAGGAGAGAATCATAAATAAAATTACAAGCTTTGATTTGACGAACTTGACGGCACCATATCCAAAAGCAAATTAGGGCTCGATTTATTTTCACGAAAAAGACGCATGTAACATAATGTGTTCGATGCATCGTTTGGAGACGGGCAAGTACAGAGCATCAGAATACTAATATTCTAGGATATATCCTGGTTGATATTATCGTTGGGAGAGTTGAGAAACCCTGTTCTATTCTGTGGTGTTTGTACATAGATCGTGATATCTTTCTCGCTTTCCGCTAATTAAATCACGATTTCGTTGTTGAACGCTTCGTTATGGTGTTAGGTTGGCCTATTACTGCGCGGATTTCGATGCGTACATGAGTGATTAGTCCGAGTGAGAATTACGAAAACCCTTGCTGTTGTTCTTTTTTGTTAGGGAGATGGGGCTTTCTTCAACACAGGAGCTGAGAAACTCAGTTATGTTCGTTCAATGCAAAAGACATACCACAATAAACCGTTAGTTATCAATTAGCCCACTCCGGCATAGACAATGGACTGCACCGAAATGAGGCAGCCTAGTTGCCGCATTGCTGATAAGAACGTATAAAATAAGTACCGAATTAGATAGAGCGCTTGGTCATTTGTAAATAGAATCTTATCATATAAAGTATGTGTATTTACATCATTTGAAGAGTGGAAAAACAATCCTAATAGCATGTTGCGCATCATGTGTGTGAGTGTTATCTTGGGGCACAAGAAGCATCACAAATGCACTTGTTATACTCTATATAGTATAGGTATACCTACACGTACGTACTCGGGTCAAAGCGTAGCCGATATTTTCGAAAAAATCGTCCCTTTCATACACAGCATATGGTCCGGCTGCCGGTGGATAATCCAATGTCTCGTATTGTGGATCCCATTCGCGCAAAAACAAATGAGAGAAAGCTAATCGAGAATCTTCGCCAAAAGCGACATGCGATGAACGGCTGAAAGCAAATTCGATCAGCTAGAAATAAACGACGGGGGAGTAAACAAATGTATCGTGTGGTTGGTAAATGCTGAAGCATGGCATTCAAATGTAAACAGCAAAATCACGAAAAAAAAAGCATGATACATCAGTTCAAGGAGAAAAATTTAGTCTACTACCCAGTCATTGGTTCACTTTGTTTACGAAGACTGTTGTACCGTGATTTGCATGGAACACATTCTGGACTCAAACACGCATGATATATATATATATATATATATATATATATATATATATATATATATA